TGTACTCAGAATACTTGTCTTTCCCTGGTATTGGGGATTGAACCCAGCAAGCACTGAGCTACAACTCAGTCCTTTTAATTTTGTTATTTTGTTATTTTTTGAGACCAGATTTCACTAAATTGCCCGGGCTGTTCACAAATTTGCAGTCCTCCTGGCTCAGTCTCCTGAGTAGCTGGGATTTCAATCAAAGCCAACATCTATGAAAATTCTGTATTCTTTATGAATTTTTCCCTAATTTTATGTAATTACATGTCCCCTGTGAGACCAGAACTAGGTATGAAATATTTAAAATGGTAACTAACAACCAAAATAATACAATACAAAACCATATTCTCTTTGTTGGTATCTGAATAGACATAATTAAGAGTGCCAAGCAACAGAATAAAAATCTCATCTCCTTATTTATATTCCTAGCACATTATTGGAAAGAGGTAAAACTCTGCTGATAACTACCCGTAGCTTCCAGAAATAACTTTTTACATGTGGCAATATTTACAAGGACCATTTTTTTGGATAATATAAATGTTACTAAGTTCATCTGTTGGCATTATGCACTATCTCCCTTAGAATAAGCTTAAGCAATCAAATGAGCTTTTCCTTTTTTTTTCTTTTTTTCTTTTTTTTTTTTTTTGGTACTGGGAATCAAACTCAGGGCCTCATGCTTGCCAGGCAGGAGCTTTTCAAATAAAATCCAGGGCAAATGACCTGAAGAAGCCACATCTAAAGGAAAAAATCTTAACCTAAACTCTTACTGTTTTTCTACTAAGGTAAAAATAATGGGGATTGAAACGCAGGTCAAGACTCCAATAAGCCAGGTATGGTGGCGCACACTTGCATCCACAGCACACAGGAGGCTGAAGCAGGAGGATCACTGAGTTCAAGGCCAGCCTCAGGTACATAGTGTACTGAAGGACATCCTGAACTATACTGTGAGACCTTGTCTCAAAAAAAAATTTAAAAAAGACTGCAATGAGATATGACAGTTATACCCATTAAATTCGTAAAATCAACCCTGATGATACCAAGTGTTACACAGGATATAAATACACAGAATCTCTTATTCACTGCTGGTAGGAGTATAAATTGTTCTAATGCTTTGGAGACAATTTAGCATTACGTAAGGTGAACATTTACTTTCTCTCAAAATCAGCAATTTCACCCAAAAGGAAGTCCTACGTGTGTACAAGAATTTCCATAATAAGCCAGCAACAGGAACATGCATAAATAAAAGGGGCTATACTCACACTGGACTTTACACAATGGTCAAAATAACTCCATGAGAGGGAGGGGTATAGCTCAGCAGTAAAGCACAAAGACCCTGGGTTCAATCCTCAGCATCACAAAAAAAAAATCCCATGAAACCCGGATGGGTGGATTGATGGATGGATGGGTGGGTGAGTGGATGGATAGATGGATACAGACTGACTGACCTTTTTTATAAAATACAAAGAATTTCTGGGTGTGGTGGCACACGCCTGTAATCTCAGCACTCTGGAGGCTGAGGCAGGAGGATCATTGCGAGTTTGAGGCCAGCCTGGGCTACAAAGTAAGCTCAAGGCCAGCCTGAGCTTTCATAGCAAAACTCTGTCTCAAAAAGACAAAAAAATTTAAGTTAAATTAAATTTTAAAAAGGTTACATTTTAATGGGCTTTTAAAATTATGTGTTGATGGTATCAAAGAAAGGAGAGGGTGACTAAGATTTGAGATGCTGGTTATCCTGGAGTGAAAAAACCAGATGACCCAGGCATGGTGGCATATACCTATAATCCTAAGCACTCAGGAGGAGGAGGGAGGAGGATTGTGAGTTCACGGCCAGCCTGAATTACAAAGTGAGACCCTCTCTCAAAAACAAAACAAAACAAAACAAAAGCCAGATGATAAATCTGGGACAGACGGCAGGGGGCCCAAGAAATAGGTGTCTACGTTTTCTCCAATCACCATGTTTCCACTAAAATTGTTTTTAAAATTAAGAATGTTTTTTCCAGCAGAGAAGGTAGCTAGAGAAACATCTGATTCCTTCTCCACCACCCATACTTACCACCAGGTAATCCTGACTCTACCATCCTCTACAGAACAGAGATTGTGAATTAAAAATTCTTTCACTCTGTTTTCTACTCACAAGCACCCAAATCTTGCCTCTATCCAAGCCATACACACTTGGTGAACTACTGAGATCTGGAGAGAAGAGGAGATAATAAAGGAAGCCAATTCAACAGGGCACCCTGCTGCTGTCACGGTTACAAGGAGGATGTTTGGTCCTTGATCTTGGCTAGCAGGATGGCTACAACTGGGCTTGAAGGAGCGACTCGGATCAGAAGTAGGGACAGGAGAGTGTCATCAAACGTCTGAAGTGCTGAGAGGCAGATGGAGGAGGAGACCAAAGCATTCTTGGAAGGTAGAACTTGGGGCTCAGAAAAGTTGCCATTCCAGCTCCACTTCAAAAAGGCCTTTTCTGCAGCTGGACTTACTCACCCCTTGTGGCATTCAGACACATAGTTTGTAAGCTGGGTGCCTCTGGGTAAGCCACTGAAGTTCATTCATTCAGCCTCACTTTCCTGGCCACCTTCAAACGGAACTAAACAAGAACATGAGGCTGCATAAATGTAAGGACTCATTCATTCCACCCAGGTGAGTCAAGCAACAATTCTGCCCACCCTGGAATCTAGAAGTATCCAAAAATGAAATTTCTGAGCTGGACTATGCAAGCGCACACACACACACACATTGTTCGCACTCCCTCCTTTCCCCAGGATTTGTCTTCACAACCTTATGAGTCAGTAAGATGCAAGAAACTTTCCTAATTACCTAAGGCACCTGCAAATTTGAGTTTACCTTCAAATGATAACCATGTATAAGGGGTGAACACGATATATAATGAACATTTAAATTTTAAAAATTTATTACAGTAAAAGACATGTTGCCAGTAACCCCCTTCAAAATACTTCCCCTTGCTTCAAATACTCTTATCCCACTGTTCTTACAACTCTCTGAAGCAGTTCTGGAAGTCTCTTTCATGAGTATCTTCACAAGGTCTGATTAAAAATACGGTGAATGCTACTGCTGAGTGCCATCAAACAGAGAAGTGGGTCTGTAAAAACATCAGGGTGTGTGTTCACCCACCTTTTCCACCACATCAGGCACCACACAACTTCTGGCTCTTCCCCATAAGTCAAATGATCGCGAAAGGTAAAAGTTTTGAATCACCTCAGGACACCAAAGCAACCATAAGAGCACAACCAAAGACACACATGAAAAGACTTAAAAGAAAAAAGACTTTCAGAACTACTTCAGAAAATGGCAAGAACAATGAAATAAGTGTGTTTAAAATAAGGGAAGTATTTTGAGGGGATTAATGACAGGGTGTCTTTTACTGTAATAAAATTTTTAAACTTAAATGTTCACCATATTTTTCTATCACACATAGTTATTTGAAGAAAAAAGATGGGACATCTTTGCTATTCCAACAAAGATAAACAAGCATGAGGTCAGGTTTTATTTCCATTAGAACTGGGCTTTCCTGCCCCTACGGGACTCTATAGTCATAAACACTGCCTTGACTGCTACTGTTTAGTACCACCTACTAAATACAGAGAACACAGAAATGATAAGCACAGGGGTGACGAGCATTAGGACACACCCAGTACAAGTATCTACAGACTTGAATACTCAGCTTCACATTTGCAACTTTATCAAAACTGACATTGAAGGGCCAGGCATGGTGGTGCACGCCTGTAATCCCAGCATTTAGGAGGCTGAGGCAAGCAGATTGCAGTGATTTTGAGGCCAGCCTGGATTACATAGTGAGTTGAAGGTCAGCCCAAACTACATAGCTAGACCTTGTCTAAAAAAAAAAAAAGAAAAGAAAAAAAAGAAAGCCAATTTTCAGATGGTGTTGTGGTGCATGCCTGTAATCTGAGCACTCTGGAAAGCTGAGGCAGTGGGGTTGCAAATTTTGAGCCCAGCCTGGGCAACTCAGTGAGATCCTACCTCCAAATATGCAACAAAAAAACTTCTGGGAATGTAGTTCAGTGCAAAGGCCCTGGACTCATTTTCCAGTACCAGAAAGAAAGAAAAAGAGACTGACAGACAGAAAGAAAGACCGATCTAGTTGAGCCAACTCTCAGACCCTCGCTTGCCCCAAGTACAGAAACTCATTCATTTTGTTCCAACAAGCACTTTAGGAAATTCTAACACTCGTGCAAGTTTGAGAACCACTGGTTGAGAGTACTCCAAGAACACAAACGTTTAACCAGCCATCCCATTAAGATACCCAGGGGACAGCGGTAAGAAAGGGAAGGAAGCCTTCAGGAACTTCCCCCTTCCAACCAGCTTCAGTGGGGAGATACTGGGAGCTCTGTCACCACTGGACTGCAATTCTCAATCCCATGCTGCTTCTGGAATGGGAAAGAAGACAGCAGAACACTTTCTGGTTCTCCACAAAATGCCAAAATTAGCCCCTGAAAGGTGTCCAATATCCCTGCAGTTGGCTATACCCAGTCCAGGGCCTGGCAACCAGTGTGTGTGGGGAAAGGTGGAAACAAACTGAGTAATTGCCTGAAGAGGAACAGCAGCGCTCCCCATGAGTGAGGCCCCGGCACAGGGCAAGGACAAGGCAACTGTTTCCCTCCATGGCTAACACTGTGATCTTAACTTGTGAACTAGAAAAGGGCAAGGACTCTGGAGGGCTGACTCCAACTAGCTTCCCAGGCCCCACAACTACCAACATCTGAGAGGGACTAAGGCCCCTCTTCCCGGACCCCACCTCCACACACACCATTAAAGCCAGGCTTGCCAAAGTCATGTCTATAGGTCACATCCACCCTTGCCAGAGGTCAGGGCCCCCAACCCTTGGCGGTTCTCTGGCGAACATGCTCCCGAACATCCCTAGCCTAGTGGCACTGTCCTCCAAACCTGGAGGCCCTCTATCACCATCACTGTGGATCACCACCATCCAGCCCTGGATGTCCCACCAAGGATGTCCCTCCTGGGCACTTCCCTACCTGTAGTAGGAGAGCAGACCATTGCCGAGCACAAACCAGCGGCGTTGGTAGCCCTTCAGGTAGTTGGTCCACTTGAGAAGCCAGCCCTTGTAGCTGTCCAGAGGCAGAGAGACCACTGGGTCACTGGAGATCGAGCCAGTGCCTGACACTGAAAGCCCAGGAGGCGTCTTCGCCTGTCCTGGTCGCAGAAGAGGCAGGGGCTTTGGCACTGACAACGACTCGGGTTTGAACAGGAGCTCGCTCTCCACTACTGACCCCAGCGGGGTCAGCTGCTCTGCTAAGGTCCTGGTGAACGACCCAGCCGCTGCACCGGGGGCCGACTCTGACCTCGGCCGCAGCCCCTGGAGTTCCGTTCCCTGCTCAGAGCCTGGCTGAGGCTCAGGCGACGTCCTGGACCCAGGGTCGGATCTCCGCACGCGTTCCGATGACTCCCGCTCCGGGGCCGGACCCAGCTGGGGCTGAGGCTTGGGCTCCAGCCCGGAGCCGGACGTGGCAGCGCTCATGCCTGGAGCCGCCGTGTGGCACGACAAGCAGGGGACAACAGTGAACAGTGACGACAGCCCTCGCGAGCGGCCGCTGCAGCCGCCGCCTCGACTCTGAGCGGCCGCTTTCCCCATAGAGCACGCGGACCGAAGCGCGTCCGAGCCGGAGCTGGGCGGGGAGCACGGCGGGAGCGCGGGATCGGGCCGAGCGGGGCGGGGCGGGCGGGGCCGTCACGTGCGCGCGGCGAGCGCTGGGGGCGCGCGCCCTCGCCAGGCGGTCCCTCCGCTGCACCCCGCGCGCTCGCTCCCCAGCTGGCTGTTATCCTGCCCTCGAGCTGCGAGGCTCTGCCTTGGGCTGACCCTAAGAAGGTGCGATGGAAACACCTCCCGGCCGAGAGTTTGGCGGGCCAGCGGCAACGCGGAAAGAACCACGCGCTTTGGGCCCCGCCTGCCGCCCAAGCGGTGCCAAGCTCTGGGGAACAATGATGAATGCGGAGCCCGCCCCTGAACGCGCCCCGCCCCTCAGCCGGAGTTGGTTCGCTCCCTGAAACCCAAGAAGTAAGCAGGGCCCGGCAGGTGTGGCATTCTTAAACCACCAAATGTGCCTGAAGGACAGGGACCCAGCTGGGTGGCGCTAAAAACTGAGGACGTTCCTTGTCCCCCCTCCCCGCCCCATCTCTGCCATTACCTGTCTTCTGTACCACCGTCATCGCCGCCTGGGCCGGCTGGCTTCTACGGCGCTTTGCTGCAAGTAGCAATACCCTTCAGGTTCGTTGAACGCATATAGGGCGTTTTGTAAAGCACGCATTTTTATGCAAGGCATTCATTTATAAGTGGGGTTCTTCAAGTTGGACCTCCTGGATATCCTTGGGTCGTAGTATTGCAGTTGTGAAGGTTTTCTAGTTTGTGCATTTTTCAAGAGAGAAGTCCATAGTTTGGCTATCTGCAGGGCAAGATTTGATGCTTACTAGAAATGATCAGAAATCAATTGAAAAGTATTGGGCTTATGCCCTGACCCTTCCCGATTAGACCTCCTCAGGGTCCTCTTGGCTCCCACTCACGTGCCTTACGCTGCCTTACCCACCTGCCTGTTCCTGATCTTTGCTTGTGACAAAACCACCTGTCCAGGGACTGCCTTCTGCAGTAAGTGGTGGCCAGAATAGAGCAGACCGAAAGCCCCAAGAACCAGGTGGTGAGATATGTGCTGAGCAGTAGTCCCTCCTACCTTTACCGGTGACTGAGACCCCTTCCTGGGTCACTTGCCCTTAAATGGTGATCACAGCTGCAATTCTGCCATGAGCTCTGCAGTGCAGAGACTTACCCATCTCGGGCTATCCCATAAGTACAGTGATGGTCCTCAGACTCCAGAGGGCTGACCACTACTACCAGAAAAATGACTGCTTCTGGAGATAAATGAGTTTCAGGAGAACTGGGCAACTGGGAGATGGGGTAGAGTGGAGGTGTGTGTTTTGCCTATTCAAAAAGAATTGTTTAAAACTGGCCCCAAGGAAGCTGACTAGAATTAGTTTTCCATCCATATCTCCCCGGGATTCTGATTCAGAAGGTCTGAGGTGAAATTCAGGGGCTTGCATTTAATGAGCTGCGCAGGGGATTCTGATACGGGTGGATCACATGGGCGGGGAGGTTACTGTAGACTGAGCCCAGAGTCTTTGCACTGAGCTACATCCTAGCCTTTTAAGATAAATTTATATTCTGAGACAGGGTCTTGATAAGTTGGTAGGGTAGACAGAGCTAAACTTGTGATCCTCCTGCTTTAGCCTTTCAGAGTGCTTGGATTACAGGCATGCACTACCATGCCGGGCTCAGAGGCCACCTTCTGAGGCACAGTGACATGAAGAGCAAATTTTGAGGGCTTTGAGAGTAAACCCATTAAAGAAATCCACTCAGCTATTCTTTGGCTGTGGAAACTTCACCCTCCCTAAGAATGTACCTGTGCTGATCTGTATAATGAAGATAATACCTACTTCAGAGGTTGTAATAAAATCATGTGTGTAAAGCACATTTGGCGTAGTAGCTGCTTAGTAAACATTCTTTAGGTTATTTAACCACAGAGTGCTCTGTAAAATGTTTTAGTGAAATGAATTAATCAGAGGTTGGAGCAGGAGATGAAACCAAAGTTCACAAGCTTGGGAAGCAGCCACAATAGAAAAAGCGTTGTGCCTGCTGTTTATGTGTCAATATGCAGAAATCCTCAAGGACGGAAGGTGACTAAGAAATGCTTAACAATATGTTTTGACTGGTCTGGTAAATCACCAAGCTCCCTTAAAATGACAGGGCCTGAGACATTAGCTCTGTCAAAGTGGGTGAAGGAATCATAGGAGGGGCAAGGTTTGCACAAAGTAGGAGGGACAAGGAAGGCATTCAGACAAAGGAATCAGCTTGCACAAAGTACCAAATCAGCAGAGAACAGCTTGTCTGGGAAATGACAGACAGCTCAGCATATTTGGAAGATAGTCATGGGACAGAGCTGGGGAGACACCACACTATGAGGAATGCCCTTAATCCATCAGAAAATATGGCTCCTGTGGATAATAGGATTATTCACCTTTAAAAGTGCCAGATTCTCATACTAAAGTATAAATAAATAAATAAATAAATAAATAAATAAAAGTGCCAGATCCAGCCAGGCAATAGTGATATTAACTTATATCCCAATACTGTGAGAGGGTGAGGCAGGACTTAGATCAGTTGTGGCAAACCTATGACATGGATGGCACAGCAGGCTATTTGTTATCGCTGAAAGCTCTAAAAGGTGTACCATCACTGACTTAGATACTTAGCAAGACCCTGTCTCAGACTTAAATAACATAAAAGGGCTGGGAATGTAGCTCATTGTGAAGGTGTTGGACTCAATTCCCACTAACACACACACACACACACACACACACACACACGATGCCAATCCTCCCCCTTACAGAAATAGTGTCTCCAAGTCTAGGGCAGAAATATGTAAGATTAACATCTACCTGGAGCATATTATACCAGAAAGCAAAAAGGCTATTCAAGACCACTGAATTTGATACCTATTGTTTCAAATGGATTCAGAAACCAGTTTAAAGGGAGTCCTACTGGCCAAAGGCGAGACAATTTGAGCACCAATAAGAATGACTGCAAAGGGGTTGAAATAAAAATCCATATGTTAAACCCACAAGTTCCAAAAGTTACAAAAACAAAAATATACCTCACTGGTTATCTTGGTGGTTGCTACAGTACCCATTATTATTCTGGAAATTGATATAAGGAAAGAAGTAAGCCTGTATCTTCCCATTATAATATAAACTGTGTGTCACAGTAACCCAAGATTTATAACAGGAAAATCTTTATAGAAAGATTCCCTAGTAAGTGCAGAAAGCATGATGGAATTAGAACAAAACATCATCTTGGAAAAGCCCTGTGAAATCATCAAGGTGACCATCATCAATAGCTACTAAATGAGTGGGGTTTTAGTTACTTTCTTGTCAGTGGGACAAAACACCAAATATCCACAAGTTAAAGGAAGAAAGGTTTTTTGTTTTTTGTTTTTTGTTTTTTAGCCTAGTTTATAGAGGTTTCATTCCATAACCAGATGGTTCCAAGGTAGGACAGCATGGCAGAGGAGACACAGTCCATGGTGTGGCAGGCAGGAGGCAGCATCAGTGAGCCTTCCTTCCCCTTTTAATACATTCAGACCACAAGCCTGTTGGCTGGTGCCACCCATACCCAGGATGGTCCTTCTGTCTTCAGAAAATACATTCAGCTATGTATTTTCTTGGTGCGTGATGCTGCATGCCTCTAATCCCTGTAATCTCAGCAGGAGGATCGATTCTAGGTCGAGATCAGCCTGGGATACATAACCGAGTTCAAGGCCAGCCTGAACTACATAGTGAGACCCTGTCTCAAAAAAACAAAGAAACAAACAAACAAAAAAAAATGTCAGCAAACCTATGCTAATCTGACCAGTGGATTGATCCAATTATCACACCCATAATCCATGTTCACACACCCTAGATCCAGCCACCTCAGAAAAGCCCCACCTATGAGCACATGAGGCTTTCGGGGGACACGCAAACATAAACCATAACAAGAAAGTTGAAGAAAAATTTCATAAAGGATTATGATGACATCAACTGAATGTATTGATCAATGTTAACATCACCAGAAGTGTAACAACAGAATAGTATATGCTTCCTGATATGAACCAGTGAGAAATACACAGCACCATTTATTTATTTATTTATTTTTTTATTTTTTGGTTTTTCTCCGGTACCGGGAACCGAACTCACGACCTTGCGCTTGCCAGGCAGGCGCTTTTGCCGCTGAGCTAAATCCCCAGCCCCCACAGCACCATTTATGATTATTTTTATATGATCCTACACCCCATCTCACCCAAAACTAAATTGAATCTAGTCAAGCTTCTAGCTCAATCAGTTTAGAAGAAAACCAGGACAGAGGAACATGCTAAGTGATCCAAGGAATCAATCAAATCCGAACAGAAAAATCTATATCTGAATGATCAGTTTTATTAAATTACAGTATCTATGTAAAAGATGGAAATATGAAAATATTAGCAACATTAATAAAACATATCAACCAGATACAACAGGCAACTTTTGTTTAAATTATGATTCAAATAAACCAACTATGAAATACCTTTTGGGGACAACTGGGCAGTGCATGCTCTGGGTTGAATTATGTCCCTCCAAAATTCTTTTGTTACCCTCAGTGTGTCTGTGTTTGGAGTATGGAAATAAAGTTAAATGAATTTACAGGATGGGACCTTAATCCAAAAGGATAAGTGTTCTTTTGGGGGTTGTTTTTAGTGTTTTTGTTTCTTGTTTGTTTCTTTGTTTTTTGAGACAGGGTCTCACTGTGTAGTTCAGGCTGGCCTTGAAGTCGGTTATGTATCCCAGGGTGATCTCGACCTAGAATCGATCCTCCTGCTGAGATTACAGGGATTACAGGTGTGCACCATCACGCACAGCCAAGATTAGTGTTCTTATAAGAAGAGACTCCACAGAGTTCCCTCTCACAATGTGAAGACACAGAAAAAAAGACAGCCATCTATAAGCTAGGAAGAGAACCCTCACTCTAGCGAGAAACCAAATAAGCAGGCACCTAGACCTTAGACTTTCTAGGTTCCAGGACTGTGAGAAATAAATTTCTTTTGTTTAGGCTGCCAGATACTTTGTTATAGCAGCCCAAGCAGACTAATAGGGAATATTGAGAAAGTACTGATTTTATTATACATGTTACATGAAAATTGTCAGAATCAAAATAGAGTCACTTATACCAAAACCAAAGCAAAGGCAGAGCTAGAAAGCCAAAAAGTAGAGGCTCTCCTACATATATGCCTATAATTAACAACTATTAAAAGAACTCTGCAAATCACAACCCTGCACAAAGGCTACCACAACCTCGCATAAAGAATACGGGTACTTCTGAGCCAGGTGTGGTGGCATATATACCCATAATCCCAAAGGTTGTAATGTTGAGGGAAAAATTGAGTCAACAATAACCAAGAACTCAAGAGACGAAAGGAAATTTTATAGACAGTGGCAAGCAGAAGTTACAAGAATGAGATAAGCTTGTAGCTGAAGGTTATGGTACAATGGGTATCTTGTGGTGAGCATAACTGTATATAGCAAAGTTGTTTCTGGAACTTTCACAGAAGTTTCAGTTTGATGACAAATCATATGATTTAGCTGAGTTCAGTGTCAGAGAACAGAAGGACTACAACTTCACTGAACAACACGGCTGCAGTTAGGTCAGGATTTCTGCTTCGATAATAGGAGCGTCTTCTACATGTAACCAGTCCGGTACTGGACCTTCTTCTCTTCTTTCCGTCTTGTGCTCCATGTACTTTAGCTCACTGAACAAACATGCAGAAGTGTCACCCTTGGGTCGCTACTAGAGATGATCTACAAACTCCATTTTTAAAAGTCACTTCCAGACTTTTCTGTGATTTTTTTTTAAGCAAATGGACATTTACAAGTGAAATGATTTTTCCAATTCTACTTTATCACACGTCAGCAACCTTTTTACATTTCTAACGTCCAGATGCGGCAAAGTTTCCTTTTAAAAAGTTAGGGAACCGTTCGGAGCAGCTTTTTCATATTATGCACCCAGGCCTTCTCCCAATGGAGGGACATCTTCCCGAAGGGCACGCGGGGGCGCGTGTGCGTTAGCCGGCGGGGCGTTTTCGGGGAGAACAAAGACCAACCGGACGCCGGTTAACGGCCCCAGCGGCCTCGGCCTGCGCCCTCACCTTCACCTTCGACACTACCGTGGGTTCGTCCGCCTCAGCAGGAGGCGCCCGGTCTCCTCCCACCGGAACACAGCGGTCGGCCAAAGCCCCAGATCTGCGCAGTCCCACGGCCCAAAGGGACCAAGCTTTCAGCCCCGCCCTCTCGCCCTCGAGGTAACGGCTACGCGGCCTCCTAGGAGGCCGCCATTTTTCCTGCCACCGCCATTCTTCCTGTCACCGCCATTTTCCCTGCCGCCGCTCCAAGACGCTACGTCGTCGGTGGCCGGCAGGGTTGGGACGGGAGACCCCGCAGCCCAGGGTGCCGGCCCGGGAGCCTCAGATCGTGGAGGGGGCGGGTTCGCGGGTGCCGCAGAGCCTGGGCCGCGCAGGGCCGGACTGCAGCGAGGCGTTGGTCCGCGGTCGCCGTGTGCTCGCCTCGGAACCCACCTTTTCATTCGGAAAACCGCTCCGTAGTGTTAGTTTCCGTTAACCCTTATAGTGGTATTATGATTATGTTTGTCCAAGTTTTATATGTAGAGATACACAGATGTATTGGTGGATGAAATTATAAAATATTTGAGATTTTCTTTAATTTAAAATCTAGATTTGCCGGGCGTGGTGGCACACACCTGTAATCCCAGCGCTCGGGAGACTGAGGCAGGAGGATCACTGCGAGTTCGAGTCCAGCCTGGGCTACAGAGTGAGTTCAAGGCCGGCCGGAAGTGCATAGTGAAACCCTGTCTCAAAAAGACAAAAAATAAAATAAAACCTAGATTTTTTTTTTTTTTTTAAAGGGAGAGCCACGTGTGGTGGCACACGTCTGTAATCCCAGTACTC